CATAGAATAATAATTTACTTCATATCACAATATTAATAATAAATAATACGATACATCATAATATTATTGTCTTTTTATAAACGTCATAATATGAACCGTATAAAAAAGCTATTAAAATAAAAAAGGATATTTTTACGTAAAAATTGCTAATTTTTCCACGAAATATATTTAGTCGACTAAGCAGATGGAAAGAGCTTGAAAATGTAACCCAACTATATCAATAAATACCTCATTTTTGATAAAATTGACTTTTACGCCATTTGTTCCCCGAAGTGTTGAATTGTTTATATAAAACAATATGATGGAACAAAAATTTAATACGAAATAGGGTCAAAATACAGTGACATTCAGAAAATAAAAATACAATTCGCGAAAGAAATATTTCTACACTGTTAGGTCCAGCGCAAACTGGTGGACAGCAGGGAGAGCGTACTGATGAAACATGAGCTCTAGCAATTTTTTTTAATTTAAATTTAAGGAGCTTTGCTTTAAATAGAAAACCACCTTGAGACTCGGACATATTAACTAAAATAACGGATAACTCGCGTATTTAAGTCGAATTATTGCTCGACATGTTTCAAACAAATTCGTGGTCCTGAGCTTTGTAATGTCGCTCTACGGAGCTCCAACAATGAGCACGAACGTCCAGCGCATAGTCCGCTGGAATACCGCGCCACCCCCCGACGTGTCACCAGTCGCTCCGATTTGATACTGTTTCATTAGCTACTATGCATTCAGGCAGGCGTATAACGGTGGATTCCGGCGTACGCCAGTGGATTCCGTCGCATGCCGGTGGATTCCGTTGCGATGCTCCGAGGTCGGTCACAGAAATTACCTTATTTCAATTCTTGTAGTATAAAATATAAATGAATAAATATAATGTCCTCTGCTTTTCTAGTCCGCCGGTTAGTACTGGTCCTTTAGGTTCATTATTTCGTAAAATCAGTCACAATGAATTATAAAAAATGTCGTAGTTTGTACCATTTTTACACATTGAAAACCGATTTTAGCTCTTGATTTGTTTGGTTAAAAGAATCTGTTCCAAGTCGTAGAACCAAGTTATTGGTTTCAATTATAGGCACGTCATATTAAGAGATTACGGCTTGATAAAAAAATACCGTGTAGTTTTTTCTTTTGGAACTATTTATTAGTCCCTTTTAGCACGTTTGGACGTAACTTACAATTTTGACAGGATATAGTTATTTGAATGAATGAATGAACGAACGAATGAATATGTGAATGAATTAAAGCACATTAAAAACTACAATGATAATATGGAACAGTTCTTTCCAGATAAGTATAGCATAGAAATTTAGGAGATGCAAAGCGGTTGCAACCAAAGAATATCTTCTAATTTAATAAGTAGACTATATATTATCATGTATTTATGGTAGTTAAAATCCTTTGTGATAAGTAATAATTTGAGAATAATTAATATAATAGATTCGTAAATAAATCGAGATCGTCAATATTTTAAGTTACGTGTATTAATGTACAAAGGGACGAATTGAGGTTAATTGAATTTTTTTTCAACATTCTCTGTTAAGTGGTTCATAGACCGAGGGAGACGAGAAATCTCTATGTCAACGATTGTATCGTAGCTTTATCAATTCTGCTTCCATGAATTTTTATTTTCGCTTACGAATATACGATATTAATCGCCTTTATCACAATTTCTTCAGTACTAGCAAATGTAGATCTTATTAGACATACTTTTTCCCCGTTATGAATGGCTTTTGGTAGCTTTTCAACCTTGGATTTCTTATAAATGTAATGTTAAGTAACAAAGAGCGATACCGTACACTATTCTTTGTTTTAATAGAAATAAATTTTGGAAATAATAAAGGTTCCGAAAAACAAATGTAATTGTTCCGAAAAGTAAACTGAACCTAACTGTAACATTAACTAATCTGCTTTAAAATGAGTTACTGAAAAATACACACAGGATATATCTACAAAATCTATTATATTATAGCAAACAATATTTTTACAAAAAGAAAATTCTTCCGAATAATATAGGTAACTAATAACTTATCGAAGCTTTTTTTTTTATAAAAAACAAGTGCGCTTTTAACCTCCATCTCACTTGACGGAAGCGACGATGGGGTCGAGTATGTAACATACGCACCTAAATAATGCCTATTCAGTCTCGCCTTGAAAAGCTCCAAGTTATAGAGTTCGGGGAACAAGTCTGCAAGCAAGGAATTCCACTCTCTAGCCGCTCGCCATATAAACGTGGAAGCGAAACATTTCGTGCGAATCCTGGGTATATCCACAACATAGGGGTGGAACTCCACCCCTACGTCTAGCCACCCGATGATGAAAAGGGGACGGCGGAATCAAATTATGCAATTCCATCCCACACTCTTCGTGATATATCCTGTAGAATACCGATAAATAAGCAGGCAACTCTACGTATATCCTATGTTGTCACTAATAGGCGATTTTATATGAAAAAGACTACAATGAAGTTAGTAGAGTCGCATTACGTCAGAAAGATTTTTCGGAACTTTCAATATTTAATTCGGTAGTTTCCGTATTTTTGTTTACACAAAAATTTTTCGGTAACTTATTAGGAGAGGAGATTAGTTATTGATCCACGTTACTAATTATTTTAATCTGTCGTCCGTTTTCGTTCGATTTGCAGCCAACTCTGCTTCTTGTAGACAATTCGACAAATCTGTGGCAACTTTGGCTGCCATGGGCTGTTTACGCTTTCGCTTGTTAAGCAACAAATGTTGCCAATGGTTGTTTAGCGATTAATTTAAGAGCCCTTAGCGAAATTGCTCTTCATTAGTTACTTAACGCTAGATGTGTATGTGGCTAGCACACTATTGGCAATTGGGTGGTTCTAAATTTAACACGTTCGACGTCTGTGCAGCCCATAACTCGCGGTGAGGAGCGTTTCGGGCCGCCGGTCCGATCGCACAGTCGGACCCGACTTCACAGCGACACAGCGCTACGGGACACTTACGATGTACTTATTTATATCTATTGTAATTTTTTTATGTTACGCTTCATTGTTTGGACAATTTTCGTCATGTGTGTTTATTGGTAGAAGGTTTATTTTGTCATTGTTTTTGTTTATAAACATCCATATAAACATAGCATCGCGGCTTGTATGTGTACGGACGCAAACACTCGCATAATCTAGCAAGGTAGACGCGCGCTATTCGTTAAAAAATACAGCAAATAGTAGACGTGTTTATTCTCTTGTATGTATATTGTATCTGACAAAGGTTATTTCAATATAACACGACTATACTGCAATGAATGCCTTTTTTTTCAAATTGATGGCGTAGTGTGTTATATTTATGGCGCAGTATAACCGTATAGGGAAATGTTGAGGGAAGCTCCCTCGTCACTAATTGTATCAGGAATTATTTGATGATTGAATTTATTCTTTGTTATCAATTTGTTAAGCCAGCGGTAAATAATAACTCCAAATTAGTTAAATTTAGAGCCTATGTGCTTGTAAGTGCAATTCACAATTGACGACTTGTCAAAAACTTTTTTCCGCCGAAAAACAGACACTTACGGTGTTAACCGCTCTAAATTAATAACTACTGTCTTTGATTTAGCGAATATGCTAAGTACTCGAACAATTTTTACAATCGGTAATCAACTAATAACACGCCGTTATATATTAATTTCAAGACTAAATAGTTGTATAAAAGAGATATAATTTAAGATATGCATAATTATTTCCATTGTAATTTTAGTAAGGCAACAACGATCGTTAATAATTGAATGAATGAAATGGGCCATCGATGCCATTCCAACTAGATTTTAATAGAATAGCAAATATTATCAGAATTGCAATGTAATCTCAATGGAATTACAATGACCTGTAGTTTAAAGCAAAATTAGCAGAATTGGGCCACAACTAAAATATTAATGTGACAAGTGACAACCCTACACTTAGAAGGTCGTGTAGGGATTAACGCGCCGGACAGGCGTGAGATGGACTACCTGCTGTTCTTATTACATTATGCCATTACGTTTTAGTTCTTTTGTTAGTTTTTTCTTAAGGATTCTAAGGACTTGTGAGTGATTTAGTTAAGTTTCGTTATCACCGTTTGATTTGTTCAACATGAATTTAGGTTCTGATTTATTTATTTCATTGACTGACTTCATAGTAGTGTTGTGTTGTTGCTCTTCAGTTGCGAAAACTTTTGACTAGTTTTTCTGTTTTGGTTCATGAATTCTTCATTTTATATCGACTAATGTGGCCGAAGTCGACGCCCTCATGTCGCTCATAGTACAGCTGTAAAGGTGTTAAAAGAGTTTTATTAGAAACAAAATACTGTAAATTCCTTGCACAAATGTTTTATTGACAGAAACGAAAGTTTATGAGTCTAGAGAGATTTTTAGTGGGAATTTAAATTATTTTCAAATTAATGGATTCATATTAGAAGTCACCTACAGGTGTTACAAAACAAAATGTCATTAAGAGTTTGGTTAACGTACTTTATCATCCCCTTTTAGCACGAATGGACGTAAGTTATAATTTAGAATAAAAATTAGTAAAATAAATTAATTAAATAATTCGGTTCAGCATTAAAGTTTCTGTTGTGAATGATTTCTTGGAAAATATTTTTTTTCGGATCTCAATTGTGTATATTTGTTTTTTCAAATAAACCGATATTTCGGAGTTTGGTTTGTTTGAAAAAAAAAAGTAAATATACGCGATTTAGATCCGAAAATTATAGTCTAATTTTCAATTATTTTCTTTTCATCAAAATTGTAACTTCGTCTATTGTATTGTAAGATATGATATTTCTACTCGTTACTCCACTTTCGGTGCTTAAAAAATCGACACCGCCCCACATATACGACTATGTGACAACATTCTGCATAACACAGCTACGGTACTGCTTATACAAATCAAGCTTGGCTTCATAAATAATCCATAAATCAATTAAAGGAAGAAAATCAAGGGAACAACGTGATAATCTTTTCATGATGTCTTGTAATGGTTTTAATTTGTAAATTTCCAGGTGGCGGAAGAACACGGTAAGCAAAAAGCGGCGTACTACGCGGGATGGGCTGCGGGCTTCCATCATAATCGAGGTAAGTCACAATTGTAAGGCTCAACTCACACTGGCGCAGAGTCGAAGCGTCGTGACGAGTCATGTTTTTCGCCTATAGCATATTCATCTATATTTTCCCATTATTAAGGTACAAATTTGTATTATGCAATTATGGAATCACGCGTTAAATTCGAGCGGTTTCGCGCGGCACCGCGCATCGCCGCGTGTCTTCATGCGTTCCTTGCGCGCAGTGAGGCGTCAGACACCGACCACACTCTGATCCGGGCGCACTAATGCGAGCGTCGTCGTGCCACGACACGCGTTGTAGTTGAAAAACAGGACGCGATGCGACGCTTCGACTCTGCGCCAGTGTGAGTTGAGCCTAATGAAATGCGAAGTAACATAATATTTTGAACGTTTGCTCTTTTAGTATTGATACTTTATTTATAGGAAATGAAACTACTCGCATTATTTCGTATCTAAAGCGTGACACGAGTGATACATCCGTGACTATAGGATCCAGTTCAAAAATAGTTCGTTATTGCAAAGTGCGTGTGTTATTGTACGTATTATTGTACGAGTCGGGCAATCCTCGTTTCCGCCGAGGTATATATAGTGCTTTTCTCAAACAATGCGAGTTAATATAAAAATAGAAATACAAAAAAGAACTTCAAAGTGCTATTGTTTATTTCACCGCCTTTTTGTAAATTATGTGGTGCAGGTATATTCGTGCACCACAATTAAACGTAAAATAGCTAATACCACCGAAATATATTTTTAATTCACACAATTACGAACACTGATGCTATATAGTGAGCAGTGGGCTGTATGACAGCTTTTTTTTAGTATTTTTGCTTTGTTGGTAGATATTTAAAATATATTATATTTAAAATTTTAGAGCAGTGGACAGACTTGTTCGTCCCGTCACTTGTTAACATAAAAAAAGAAAAAAAAAACATTTCCGAGTATGTTTGAGTAACACAAATGCACCTTACACGATTTAGATCCGAATAATTTCATTTCCAATGAACAGCAATCGCGAAAATATTTTTCTTTTAACAAGGTTAATTACGCAATATAATGCTTATGGAATAGTGAGTTTAATAATGAACCTTGTTTGTGAGAGACTGGTGTCTCAAATAGGCATAAATTGGCGTGCGTCTAGACAGTCCAGTTGTATTATAAATGTATAATATTGCTTAACGATATAAATTTATAGAAATTAGAAGATAGAAGACTCACTAACCAAAATGAAATACAATTTTGATTATTGCAATTCAAATTGTATCCTGTCTCAGTCGGCGGAAAGTCGGTGTTATGCGTCTAGTGTCACTTTTTAAATATTTTCAAAAATGAAAAAAAAAAAATTTTTTTTTGTGAAAACACTAATAAATGTCATGATTATGAATACAAAGATCGGTAACCTATCACAAATTCGAATTTTTTTCCGAAATAACGTTTGTTCGAATTTTCATTACACCGAAAACCGAATTATGCGTAGTAAATACCTACGACGACGGAGGACGAAACTTGTTTACAACGCTAGTTGTAAAAGTTGCATTAAACAATACAAACGTGTGATCGGCGATGTGCCGGTTGTCAAATAGCGTCCCCACCCCTCCCGTGCGTCAGTCCGCGCGTCTTTTGTCTAACCCAACTCGGAGCGAACGAGTTGTATAATTTTATTTATTATGTAATTACGTCACCACACTATAAACGCACACAGTAGGTATATTTATATATATATATATATATTTGCTATATTTAAGTACTTTTGCGATCTATAATATAACACACAGCATTAACACAACGTACAAAGAACACATACGCAATTATTTAAGTAGTTTATTTTATTTTGCGACACACACGTCCGTCACTCATCTCAGCTCAGGGCTCATTGAAAACCAGCTCCACAGTCAATTGCGGCTGTGGCATAAGCTGAATGAAGTCCTTTTGCATACGCCACAACCGCACACATGACAGTACAACATTTGTAGTTGTTATATTTAGTATTTTTTGTTTTGCTCTTTGTTTGTTATTGTCTTATTTCATTTTATTTTAATTTTGTTTATTACGTCTTTTTGTTTTGTTTTGCTTGTCTAAGTAGTATCAATATTTTTTTTTGTATCTATGTGTTGTGGCGTTGCAATAAATGTCTATTCTATTCTATTCTATTCTATTCTAATTATAACGAAACCGTTGTTCTTTCAGGATTTGTTGGATGTTTATCGCAAAGATACGATTAGGTTCGGTTAGATTAAGTTAAGTTAGGTTTAACGGAACGGTTTCAAAATTACTTTCGAGGTTATGAAAATTCGAGCAAACATTATTTCTGGAAAATGTCATTTCAGACTACTGATTGGTAACCACAAAGATCGAACACTCAGAAATATTTTGTCGACCCGGTGGGACTTGAACCCACGTCCATGCTGCACCGTAGCATTGACGTGGGTATTATTACGTGTATTTATATTTTATATGGACGACAACACACGACGCGCGAGCATGTGCGTCCGTCCCGACCCGGCACGCGCCCGACCCGTACCCGCTCGCCGTGTTTCACACTTTACTTGGAATCGTATCATGTTTTGTGTACCGATTCAAAAAGAAATTGGTAGCAGTACGGTATGCCGTCGACATCTTGTGAACACAATTTCAATTCACCTTATGCGATTTTTTAATGACTGTGATTCGTTGTTTGACTGAAATGACCTTTGAATTAATTTAATTGGAAAATTTTCAACATAAAAACAATCTTGCCTTTAGTTGTTTTTGGAAATTTAACACACTAAGGTATATTTAGTTTTAATAATGACTTTTTGAATTATCAAAAAAACATCTAAAATTTCAATGAATATTTTTGTGAAATAATAAATATTTTTATTTATGAATCATTAAATGAAATCTGTAAATTGTAATATTTTTAGTCTGTTATGCAAATACCAAACACCTCGTGACGTCATTATGTAGGTAAGCAAAGAAACGGCACCGTATTCACCGTTCGCGTATTGTCTTGTATTTCGAAACTGACATTGGCTTATGGTGGCCGCCATTAAGAAAAAATAATAATAATGAATGTCTCTGGTTTATTCTCCCGTCAGTCAGTTTTTGACTAAACATTGTGAAAGTATTGAATTGGGGACAGTAGTTAATAAGTATTTAAAATTCTCACAAGTGACAAGTGCACATTATCTAGTTTGTTTACCTACAAATAACATCACGCGTTTTGAGTTGACATGTAAGATCCGTTTGCGCGGCAATTAAACAAAAAAGGTTTTAGAGACTTGAAAAGCTTTATTAAGATAAAATAATATTATTACAACTTGTGTATTGCATTTGCCTCGTCAAAACTCCTATACAAAATGACTTTTGTGCACGCTGCCACGGATAGCAAGTACATCATCAATGCATCACCTTCCCCAACGCCACCACAGCCTTGACCAACTAGACATGCTACATCGAACGACGCCGGAATACACGACCAATTACGGAACGTACACCGGCCCCTTCTCACGTTTCCTACGCCGTGACTTTCACAACCAATCGTCTTATATGAGTCACCATCGCCCATTTTGAAAAGGACTTTACTGTAAAAAGTTTCGCCTAACAGATTCGAAAATATAGGCGGATGGACTTTTTATTTCGTAGTATTTAGTGATTAATTGATAAGGTTTTGGTGCGATGTGTCGTTGTGGAAAGTTCTATAAAGATGGAATTTACGAGCTTAATTGAATTCACATATTATGTAACGTCAAATAAATTTACTTATCGAGTACATAACCAGAGATAGAGACGAAATGTCATTTAATTTGTTTGAAAACTATTCTGCCAAAGCGGTGACAACTGCGCTGCGATTGGCCAGCACGAATTTGAAACAATTGACGGGTGTCGTCAATTGTTTCACTTCAAATCATAAGACCAGACCAGTTTAACTTGAGCTTTGCTATAATGGACGAAAATTGAAAAATTACATATTTAATTACCGATGAAATGTGATTCCTTTGTTTTGTCATTAAATGTTTTTCTATTTTTCCCACACCACCGAATTGAACAGCCTCCCATTGTTAGAGATATTATCTTTATAACAATAAATACAGAATATTTTTGGAATATACGAAGACGTACACACAGGTCAGTTGTTGGCGCTGTACCATTTCAGCTTTCTAATTTGTCTTCTATCTTTCTTATTTCGTCTCTATTTCTGGTATATAACGCGCTCGGTCTGTTTAGCGTCTTAAACTCAGATTTTATTAATCAAAATTATATTTAATATAAATATAATTACAATGTTTTTTTATAAAACACATTTCCTATGTTATGTAATTTCATTAGAAACAAGTGTTTCGAGACTTAGTTTGACTACTTGGTGTAAACTTGTCAAACCAGAAGGAACTTTCCAGAACAACAGTTAGCAACAATAAGGTATATAAATATTTTGCATCTAAATCCCTGTCCAGTGTTATTATCCTGAAGCTTCTTTATTAAAATAAGAATAGGAAAGACTTAGAAAGAATGCATTGTACATGAGGAAATTTTGTGGACATTTTTTGTTACGTCCTGAAAAAATAAATGCTTTAGTTTGACCGCATTTACTAGCTAGCTGCTTGCTTAAGGACCGACGATAACAAGAAGTAGTAATGTTTTTCGGTGTGGTAAACTTGTTTTTGATGTAAATTTTTGTCACTGACACGTTAGGTCGTTTATTACGAAACAAATTAATTGCCATCAAACTTGTTGTAATTTACTGTGCTGTTCAATCTCCGCCGTACATAATCATGTATTCTGTTGTATAATCGAGATGTTTACATCTGAACATTCTTAATTTGCTGTCTACTTTCAAATACTCTACCGTATCGAACCAACACTGCAAGTCCCAGTAAAGTGTTTTGTAATTTCCTTACAACAAGAACATGTCGGTTGCAATCAAATCAAGCAAAACAAATGTACTCGTTTTCAATAGAAATAGCTTTTTTGCAAAATACTTTTGCAGCAGTGGAGCTCCTTGTGAATTTCGTTCAGGAAAGTACTGCCACCTTGTTT